CCCCCCCACACACACACACACACACACACAACATACACACACATACACTGTTTTGTAACAATGCTTTGTTACATATTGGGCTAGGATGTAAAAATAATATTATTCAATCACCAGAAAGATCGTATCTTCACGCTAGCGTCCTTGACACCTGTATACCAGCATGTATATAACGTGAGGCAACACCTACTTGGCTACGTGCCGGGGTCACATATGTTTTAGACACGGGACATAACATCTAGGTTTTTCAAGGTTTTTATTTATACAGTCTGACACACGTTAAGTGTGTAACAAGAGGTCATAATAACATAATATCATTATGATCACCATATTACAAATTACATTCGTATATCTATCATGAAACATGCACATTTCAATTATGTTTTCACATCGTATTGAAATGAGAATGCCCCTTGACGTTATAGACCGCGTCACAACCTTCTGAAGTGCGTCACAAAGAAATGAACGCGTCACAGTCTACATTATATATAGCTAATTTAGTCGGGGGTTTCGAAGGGGGGGTGGGGGTGCTAGCAAAACGTGGAAATAACAATAACCCTCCTGATCTGTTACACAATCTTTTTCAACGTAATCATCCCATTTGATGAAAGTCACCTTGTTTGCTCATCTTTGACAAATGGTTAACTTTAAGATGAAAGAAAAACAAGACCGTGGACACATTTATCTTGTATCTAAGGGCAAATCTGTATAATTTATCTATCCGCTAAAACGACCTTTGTCACCTAAGGCGATACGCCTCGCTTCATGTTTATTTATGACCCAGTACCGTTTATCATTTGTGTTTACATGATGTCACATTACGTAAGGTATTTATGGGCTAGTTGCACCTGGAACATACGGCCGATTTATGGTCTATACTGACTGCCAGATGGTGTAGTTTGGCATGTCAATTTGGATAATACAATAAGCAAATAATTGCAACATTGACACTCAGAAGACTATAACTATAAGNGGGGGGGTTTGACAGTAAATGGAAACAAATTTTAATGAGATGACCAGATAAACGTTACACATCATTAACAAAAAAAAATAGCAATAAGATTAAATATGTATTTTTGGGGGATTTTTGAAATCAAATGAAACGAGTTTTAGTAAACAAATAAAATGTTTGAAATCATAAAAATAGCAAACATATGAAATGACTTACATGTGTGAATTGTATATCTTGTATATGTAATTAATGATACGTTTCTAACTGAACTGGTTCGTACGTTATTTGTATTTTTTTCAGCACTTGACGAATGAGAAATTACTTTACTTAGTTTAAACAGTATTTATTCAATATTCAAACATGTTAATTACATACATATAATTACACAGGGATTGAAAAACAAGCTAAGAGCTTATATTAAGTCATGTCCCAAGTTTGATTCAAGTTTATACGTTGCATATTTTTGCTTTTGATAAAAAAATGACATTCAAAATTTTTTTCAGCTACGTGTTTTTCTCCGTATCAGAATCTTCTCGCTTCCTCAAAAGATTAATCGTTAAATGGTATGTTATAATATTTACGCTTATAAATATTTTATGAAATCTGCTTAGCACACCGCTGAGTGACCTCGCTCCTCGTTTTTAATCCACAAATCGTGTAAACACCGACAACGATAGCACTTAAGCGCTTACTATCAAATTATAACTGATCATGTTTTTCTTTTTAATCTTATTGACTTTTATTATTTTTTGTTTATTTATTTTTGTAAACTTCCATAATTTTCAATTATGTTGATACAATCATTGTCGATTTACACATCTTTATATTACTTACTGTTGTTAAACCAGACATTTTTTTTCTTACATATTTTTTTTCATTTTTTTTCCATTTCTTTTTCAATTACACATAACTAGAGTAGAATGTAAACAGAAACAAACGGAGTTCACGTAAGAATAACATTACAGCAGCAATGTATGACAATGATACAATTAATTTTGTAGGTGACTAAATGTTGAGTTTATTTCATTTTCTTTCGTGAGGAACATTGTCCTGTTGTGAAAATCCAATATAGAATTTCGGTCTTGTAAAGGTCCCTCTCGTAGATTCAAAATGGTATTCTCTTTTAAGATAATGATATTTTTTTCCAAGATATCTGATGGTATTCTTTATTTATGTTTTTTTTTTTAAATCACGTGGTATCAAGCTAAATGACATTGTATGGGCGAATAGAAAATGTGTAAATGGTTACCCTTCTAACCTGGCTAATCTTTCCTGTCGACCCCGGGAGATCAAAAATATAATTTTCAAGAGAAAATCGGGTAAAGTAAGATTCTTTCCTATAAAGCCACAGAGTTAAAAAAAAAAATGAAAAAAATGATGTCTACTTACTTACCTACTAAAGAATAAAAGTTGAATTTAATTTAATTTAATTACCTAGCTTACCTCTGGGAAGGTAACCAGACAGATATACAACCTGGTTTACCTGAATTCTCTGTTTTTGTAGAGGCGAAACGAAAACGAGGTAAAATAATATTGGGAAAATTAAATAAACACTTATTATAACAGTGGCGGATTCAGAGACCTATCTGGGGGGTTTCCAAATTTCCTGGGGGGTTTCCATGTTGGAAAAATTGAGGAAAAAGGTGAAAATCTATGATTTTTAAAGAAAATTCTCAGGGTGGGGGGGTTTCCTGAAGCCCAAAAAGCCCCTCTGGATCCGCCACTGTATAATTATTATTAGTATTATAATTTAATGCTTAACGGCCCATCAACACAGGATAGGTCATTAGGGCCATCAAATGGTCGACAAAAACAAAGGAAAAATAAAAACATCAAACAAACTTAAAGGTAAAAGACAAACGTCAATTCGAATATTGAAAGTGGCTACGGTGACTCAGTATTTAATAAAAAGACCAACAGCTTTCAGAAAGCCTACAATTGAAGAGACATTTTTTTTAACATGCACAGTGTACATATAGATAGATTGATGGGGAAATGTGGGCAAATAGCTATATAAAGATTTGACAATGGGTGGTCATATTATAACAAAACTATAGAAAAACGACCATGATAAAAAAAAATCTGCATGATTAGTGTGTATTTGTATATTTTAGTCTCAATACGTGTTTGCCCGTAGGAATCGCCGACATTTTAAGAACTCTCTATATCTCTAAGTAATGGGGCTCACCTATATTTTGAAAATGATATTCAGGATTACCAAGGTAAAAATTCTTCTCGACACTAACTAACAGAATATTTGATATATTAATTTTGTGTATTTCCGTCGATAGATACGAGAACTACTGAAATATATTGTATACATGAACAGATTTTAAAAAATAATTTGAAATATGGACAAATGTAAAATTTGTAAAAATAAAAGCCTTGATGAAAAGTTGAAAACATAGTAACCTTTCTCAGATATTTGTCGTTAAAAAAAATACTTTTCATGTCTGTCTTTGGAGATTTAATTAGTTTTGGGCAGTAAAATTGATTTCAAATTATTTAATTTCCACGTCATTTACCATCATTTCTTTATTAAAATTAAATAGAAGAATATGAAAACGTGTTGAATTGCATATTTGTTAAGATATTTATTTAGTTTTATTGATAATAAAACTTGTCAAAATGAAATGGTGGTTTAGTGTTGTTGATATATCTATGAACTTCATTTTCCAAGCAGGAGTTTTGTTAGTCACTCGCGAATGGACCATCCACAAACACACAGAGCCCGTGACTGGACAATGTAAGGCGAATGTAAGGATGCATGTATGTTCAGGGGGAGGGGGGGGGGGCTGTTATGGACTTGTTCCCTCCGTTGTGGTTATTGATTAAAGTGATATATATATAAACAAAACATCCCCCCGCCCCCCGAGTGTCATCGTGGTAAATTAATGATATTTTACGTTTTGACTAAATATCGGCCTCGGTAATTTGTAATTATAAAGCTAGATTTGTGTTTTAGGATATATTGCAAAACAAAATAAATATTTCGGTTGTACTGTAGACTCAAAAATGGTACGTTGGTATATATATTGCACGTATTTGCGTGTATTTTTTTTAGATATTTCAAAAATTAAAACTGTGCTCATTTCAAATCTGTCAAAAACACTAAAAAGATTCTAGGGTAGGCGCTCGAGTATATCTCACGTAAATAAAGACAGTGGATTAACCTTAGTACCAATTCTGGTAGAAATTGGGGAAACCGGTGAAACATGATACTTTGGAAATGGTTCACCATCAAAGTTGGATGTGGAAGAGACTACGGACAAATCGGTCAAAACATTAGGGCTGAAACGTATTACGGTACATATTCTGTGTGTTTCCCTGGGGTGTGGAGTGATGGTCGTGAGGGTGAGTGGGTGGTTCTTTGGTAGCTTTTTGATTTGTTAGGACGGAGCCTTACCTTTCCGCTTTGTTGTCGATCCCATGGACGACGATTCCTGAGAAGACGCAACACTATCACTACTACTGGTAGACCCGGGGGTGGAGACCATCGTGTACCGACTCAGGTTGCCGAACCCGAACTCTGACAACCCCGGCCCGTCCATCTTGTTAGCCCTTAGTCCAACAACACTGTTTACATCCGGCCGATCTGACCCGTGGTCAGCAGGTCCGGTATCTTGCCCATACAACTTGTCTTCATGTCTTGATCCAAACATGGAAAAAGCACCCTCCATAGAAATATATTGGGGTTCGAGCGCCATTCTGATATTATTACTAGCCTAGCTAAACACTTTCATTTTGATTTCTATTCAGAACTGTATTGAACTTATTCCCCGGGTCACGTTACTCCGTAAACTCCACACATATCTGACTCCGATTGTGCCGGGGCGACCTCAGCCCGACGTTATGGTCTGTGTGGACTGAAATCGCCTATATGACGTCGGACAGGTCAGTCTCTATGCAAATGCCACAGCCGTTCAGTGCAGTGATGTAATCGCTCTAGCCAATAGGCTGGACGAGTCCATTTGAGGCCGAAGGAGAGACTGACCATTGCTCACTCGTCCGTGCAAACTCGATATAACAGCGTGACGGGGTTTCGAGCGCCAAGAAAATGTTCCTAAATCACTTTTTAACAGAAATGCAAGGAACTTGTATTTTGCTTTCACTTCAATAAGTTAAATTGTTTTGCAAAATAGGAAATCTGCATAACTGTAATAAAACCCGCTCACCCCTACTCATGAAATAGTGTTCTTGTTGCCTTTGTCCAGTTGGACCAAAGTATGTGGTAATCGCTTATAGGGTGAACAGGCTTCAAGAAGAAAACAGGTTCTAAGAAAACTCTCTAAAACTTCCTTTTTCACGACATTGGTAACACAATCCTATTCCAAACATCTTAAAATAATCCGGTAAATTTACATAAATATGGAAAAATAATAGCAGTCAATGATAAATCAGACGAGGTTATTTTGACCTCGTCTACCTGTGTATTTAATAAAATGGACTGCGCTGACCTTTGCTAAGGCCACGACAGTCTGACCAGACGACTGGCCAGAGGGCGGGGCCTTTGTTGGTCAATGATTTCTCGCCTGCTGGTGGTGGTCATTTACTGTGGCCATTAACGAGTAACCGTAACATTATGTAACGGACTTAGTGGTCAGTACAGGTAGCATTAGAGGTGGTCAGTGTTGGCCGTAGTATGGACTCTCACCACTATTACATGAGGAGACTGTATACTTGGGCCCTGACGTGTGTATCGGTACTCTCGTTTGTAAGACTATTACGTCACATGTCTGGGTACCTCTCTAGACTAAGAAGTGAAACCTTCAAACGCCCTTAACATTCTCGCACGATATTTTCATGAATGTAAAAAGAAAAGGCGAACGGGTGTTAACAGAGCGGAGGGAGCGGGGGGGATTGTGTTTACATAGAGAAAGCTTCGTCAGCGGAGGTGGGGTTGAGGGTGAGGATGGGGGGGGGGGGAGGGAGGGAGCGGGGGAGGGGTTTGTGTTTACATAGAGAAAGTTTCGTCAGCGGAGGTGGGGTTGAGTGGGAGGGGGGGGGGGGGGGGGGAGAGGGGGGGGGGGGGGGGGGTTTGTGTTTACATAGAGAAAGCTTCGTCAGCGGAGGTGGGGTTGAGGGTGAGGATGGGGGGGGGGGGAGGGAGGGAGCGGGGGAGGGGTTTGTGTTTACATAGAGAAAGTTTCGTCAGCGGAGGTGGGGTTGAGTGGGAGGAGGAGGGGGTGGGGTGAGAGAGGGAGACCTTCGTCAGCCTTAAAATAATAACGAAGGGAGATAATTCTGGAAAAAATTGTAGGGGGGGGGGGGACGTTAAAAGATTTCAGGACGCTGAAGGCTTTTGTTTGCAGTCTACTGTTTTTAAGGTAGTCATTCATCAAATGTTATTTCTTATCTGAATTTATTCCTTGTATTGCTGATATGGTGTTTTTCTTTTCCTTTACTTGTTGTCACCGTCTTGCGTAATAAATTCGGACAACGCACTATTCAGTGACCCTGCTTTCATCTATTTCATATGGATTTAAGCTTTTAATCCTTAATTTGCGGGAAAATCCAGTAAACACATATATGTTTGCTATCCTGTTCAGAATTACGTGACTGACTTGGAACTGAATACAGTTTCTTACTTATCATAAAATTTTGAAAACCGATCGGCACTAAAGCCACCATATTGGGGATAGGTTCAACTAAAGGAACAGCCAAGAGCCAGCATCGATGACCACTAACTGTTTTCTTGTTACGTCGCAACTGTATCAGTAATTACGTCACAATGTTCAGGTCAGAATTGTGGTCTCAAAAATCTAAACTCACTTTGATAGGATTGGTTATAATAGCTGGACTTGGTCGATCTTCGGCGTCGATGTAGCTCACTTGAGATATATTTCGTCAAGAGTTTGAAGCGTCCCGGGTTCGAATCCAAATATGACCTCGCATTTGTCCCCTCCTGTTACAGTAGTGCCCGTGATCACCAACCCTTATTTCAAGTTCTGGATGAATGCTTGTAACAGGTTACCCGAACATGGGTTGAAAATAGTGTTCGTCTTCGGGGGCGAAGACTTAGAAAAAGGAGGGAGGAATGAGCGGTCGATCGTTGGTAAGCAGGTAGCTCAACTGACAGAGCGTCTAGAGTTGGAATGGTTCCTGGTTCGAATCCTTGTCTGGCCGTGCATTTTGTCCTTTCCTGTTACAATATGATGGTAAGGTTAGCATCGTTTGATGATCCCTTGATGACGTATGCAGCATTATACATTTTACAATTATGGACTTCAGGTGAAGTTTATCCGTGATTTATTAACCTGGTCTGAATAATATGCACCGAAACCGAATGATAGACGTGATACAGACATTGAGCTCTTGTGGAGTTGCTAGCATTTAATTACAACAAAACACACACCATTGTCACTAAGTTGACCTTGTTCAATGTGGACGGGTCAACTCGACATGGCATGGAGGAAGCAAAAATATTCAATAAATGTGAAGTCTGACAATTCTGCTCTCGTTCGGGACGGAGACTGGACATCTTAATTGCTTGACACTGGGAGATTTTTAACCATTAAGTGTGTAGACTATGTTTAAATTGCATTTGCACCAAAGCAACTCGTAAAAGGCTGTCATTTATGCTTGATTGGATCCCAGTTCTATCGATTTACGAGTGGCAGGTTTGTCTTAGTGCGGCCAAATTGACCTGTGGTCAGTGTGTTGACCGGAATAATTACTTGACCAATGGTTTAAAATAGATCACCGCATCTGTGTATTAGGGAGGCTGTAATCACTCCTAGCTACATGGTCAAAACTAATTCCATGGTGCAATAGGGAGAGAAACTGAGATTATAAATCTATCCCCAATATGAGTGAGATAGAACACAATGTGTTATACTAGCTCAGAACGTAGCACACTAATTTGAGTCAGACCAACACTATGTGTTATACTTCACTCAAAATGTAACACACTTATTTGAGTCAGACCAACACAATGTGTTATACTAGCTCAGAACGTTACGCATTAATCTGAGTCAGATCGAACACCGTGCGTTATACTACACTCAGACCATTACACACCTATTTAAGTTAGATCGAACACAATGTGCTATACTTCACTCATAGCGTTACACATTAATTAGAGTTAGGTAGAACACGACATGTTATACTACAATCAGACCATTACACACTAATTTGAGTCAGACAAACACAATGTGTTATACTACACTCAGACCATTACACACTAATTTAAGTTAGATCGAACACAATGTGCTATACTACACTCAGAGCGTTACACATTAATTTGAGTCAGATCACAATATGTTGAGTGAGATCGAACACAATGTGTAATACTACACTCAGAATATTACACACTAATTTAAGTCAGACGAACACAATGTGCTTTACTACACTCAGAGCGTTACACATTAATTTGAGTTAGATCGAACATATTGTGTTATATTTCGTTTAGAACGTTACACATTAGTTAGAGTTAGATAGAACACAATGTGCTATACTTCACTCAGAGCGTTACACATTAATTTGAGTTAGATCGAACAAATTGTGTTATACTACAATCAGACCATTACACACTAATTTGAGTCAGATCGAACACAATGAGTTTATACTTCACTCAGAGCGTTACACATTAATTTGAGTTAGATAGAACACATTGTGTTATACTTCACTTAGAACGTTACACATTAATTTTAGTAGGATAGAACACAATGTGTTATACTTCACTTAGAACGTTACACATTAATTTGAGTAGGATAGAACACAATGTGTTATACTACACTCCGAACGTTACACATTAATTTGAGTCAGATCACAATATTTTGAGTGAGATCGAACACAATGTGTAATACTACACTCAGATTATTACACACTAATTTAAGTCAGACGAACACAATGTGTTATACTACAATCAGACCATTACACACTAATTTAAGTTAGATCGAACATAATGTGCTATACTTCACTCAGAGCGTTACACATTAATTTGAGTTAAATCGAACACAATGTGTTATATTATACTCTGAACGTTATACAATAATTTGAGTAGGATAGAACACAATGTGTCATACTTCACTCAGAGCATGACACATTAATTTGAGTAAGATCAAACAAAATGTGTTATACTACACTCAGACCATTACACACGAGTTTGAGTCAAAAAGAACACAATGTGTTATACTACAATCAAAGCATTACACACTAATTTAAGTTAGATCGAACATAATGTGATATACTTCACTCAGAGCGTTACACATTAGTTTGAGTCAGATCGAACACAATGAGTTTATACTTCACTTAGAACGTTACACATTCTTTGAGTAAGATGAACACTATGTGTTAAACTAGCTCAGAGCGTTGCATAATAATTTGACTCAGATGAACACTATGCGTTAAACTAGCTCAGACCATTACACACTAATTTAAGTTAGATCGAACACAATGTGTTATACTTCACTCAGACCATTACACACTAATTTGAGTTAGACGAACACTGTGTACTACACTCAGATCATTACACATTAATTTGAGTTAGACGAACACTCTGTGTACTACACTCAGATCATTACACACTAATTTGAGTTAGACGAACACTCTGTGTACTACACTCAGATCATTACACATTAATTTGAGTTAGACGAACACTCTGTGTACTACACTAAGATCATTACACACTAATTTGAGTTAGACGAACACTCTGTGTACAACACTCAGAATATTACACACAAATTTAAGTCAGACGAACATAATGTGCTATACTTTACTCAGAGCGTTACACATTGATTGGAGTTAGATAGAACACAATGTGTTATACTACAATCAGACCATCACACACAAATTTAAGTCAGATATAACACAATGTGCTATACTACACTCAGAGCGTTACACATTAATTTGAGTCAGATCACAATATTTTGAGTG